CCCTCTCTCTTTACTGCAGGATCAGATGCTCATAAACTTGTTAGTGGCTTTATCATTAAACCGCGGTGCTTTGTGGGGGATCAACAGAGGAGAGAAAGGCTTCTTAACTTTCCCTTTGAGGAGTCCATCAATTAGCATCACAAGACGCGTTCACGTGTCCTACCCGCGGAAAATCAAGCATTTCCAAATAATGATAAGCGGAGAAACAAAGAGAGACACGAGGGGTAAGAAAGGAGGAACATTTCAAACAGATGCACCGTAATAAATAACGACTCCAGCTGAGAAATACATTTGCATTTTGAAGTGTTTTTGGGGTAAAAGCGTGTCAGAGAAACGATTGTTCTACAATACACATCCGGGTCTTTTTCAGTGACATGTTAATGTGCATGGTGGCGTGTGCAGAGGCTGTTATATAAAGGGTGAAGAAGAAGAGGAGATGAGAGGTACCTGCAGAACTGAAACTGATCCTGAAGATGAAGCAAGAAGCGAAACTGACCCGGAGGACATCTTTCTCTGTGGAGGACATTTTAGACCCGGCGAAATTTACAAGAAGACACATTTGTGCAGAGGAGGAAACTTCAACAGGTGAGAAATACTTCTAGAAAGTGTTCAAACTATGCAGAGTTGGAGGAAGAGTTGTAACATTGCACAGTATTTCATTTTAAATGCACATTTTGTAAAGATAAGATTAGGTTTTGATCCTTAATTGGTGATTTTTTTAGTGTTTACTTGCACAATTCTCTTTTACTATTGTATTTGTATTTCTACTTTTATTGCAAAAACTACACTTTAGCTATGATGCATATCAAACTCAAGGCTCGGGGGCCAAATCCGGCCCTCAACTTCATTTCATGTGGCCCCACTAGAGCTCTGAAAGAATATATGTTTATTAAACGATTACATGGCGATTTACAGAAGCACGTTGCCCATAAACTACATGTCCCACAATGCATCTCAAATTTGACTTTTTTCTCAGAATTTCCCCTTTTTTTCTTCAAAATTTCATTTTCTTTTCAAAATATCACTTTTCTTGCTTTTCTTTAAAAACAAAATGGTGACATTCTCACTGAAGAGACTTGCAATTACTTGCCCTAGACTTCTGCTTTCAGACGTAGTTAATTATGAAGTTATTACCCCATCAGATAATAATCCAATGCAGAGGCAATCATGTAATATAATGTATTATTTTATATATATTAAATATTTATATATGTATTTTTATATAGTCTTAAAGTTACAACCGGCCCTTTGAATGCAACCATAATTCCTACGTGGCCCGTGATGAAATTGAGTTTGACACCCCTGCTTTAAAGCAACACTAAATTGTAAAAAGTCATGCATTCATATTCTTACTTAAAGGTGGGGTAGGTAATTCACTTCAGAAACACTTTTTGTTATATTCCATGGAATGTTCTTAACATCCTGATAGCAATGAATATATTAAATGCTTTGACAAAAAATCCATAAAAATATTTCATCTCTGGAAGCCGTAGCGCTGTAAAAAGCACGACCAATCATCTGAGCCGGCCCGGCTAAAATAACTGGATGGCCTACCTGCCTGTCAGCCTTCCATCTGTGCACAAACTTATCTCGTGCCCTCATTGGTCATGTGCGCGTTCGTGCGTGTTGGAGGAGGGGCTCTGTAAGGAAGTCTGAAGGAAGGGGCAGATTTTTTGATTCATTGAGCATCTCACACAAAAAAAGTGTTACTTCACAGTTTTACGACACATTTTTTTTTTTTTTACTTGCAAAATTATCTTTAACATTATCTTTTTGTTTGACAAACATCATATGTGTAATTCGTGGCACAATTTAAAACGGGATCGAAAGATAATCTTTCCCTCTCCATTGACTTCAATACATACTTTATCTGAAATAAGGTCCCATGGAGCTCCAACCCACACCCCCCCCCCCCCCCCCCCTCCCCCGGAGAGGGAGGGACTTCGCCTCTCTGTACTTTAGGAGAAAATACCTTGACCTGTACATTACACCTCTGCAGATATGAGTTAGACATTACCTACTAAGATGGAACTTTATTTATCCTCTTGGGGAAATTCAGGCGTTTATAGCAGCAACAGGGTCAGAGTTATTATTATTATTATATATTATCATTGCTATTTCTAGATTTCTCCTGCAACACAAACATGTCCCAACTTGGGATCAATAAAGTACTTCTTATCTTATCATTCTCAGAATGAAAACAGGATGATAACTTCATTAACTGATCCTTCATTTCCTTTCCATTTTAGAATCTTCCCCCCACAGAGATGAAGGCAGAGATCTCCACAGCCCTGAGGAAGAGGAGGAAGGTGATGAAGGTGAGGAGGCTCCATGTCCGGGGAGGAAGAGGCTCCACAGCCCGAAGAAGAGCCGCAGGATCCGCACGGCCTTCAGCCTGGAGCAGCTGCACCTCCTGGAGCTCAGCTTCAGACGCAGCCACTACCTGTCGGTGTTCGAGAGACAGAACATCTCCGCGCTGCTGCAGCTCTCTGAGACCCAGGTGAAGATCTGGTTCCAGAACAGACGCACCAAGAGGAAGAAGGAGCGGCAGCTGAAGGGTCCGGAGAACGAGGAGGAACACGGGTACATGGACAGTTTCTCCCCGCTCAGCGGTAACCAGATGTTCTACCCTCAGATCCACATGTTCTCCCCGCTGGTGCCTTTCCATCAGCAGCACTATTACACATGACGGGTACATTACGGAGAAAAAGGACTTCCCGTAGAATATGGCACTATTTTCATGATTCATAAGAGCTGTATAAGTGCCAAACATGACTGAATTTATTAACGTAACGTATTTTTATAATGTAATTATGCTATAACTTATTTTTTTAATAAACATTTTCTATGAAGTTTTTCTCGTTTGATCGTTTTTTCTTCAAATATTTTGACGTGACACATGAGGCTAATAGTTAATTATTTAAAAAATGGTAATAAAATTGATATGCACACATTTACAAAGACACATATGAGAAATAAATGTTTCATTTTACAAAAACAGTGATATTTAAAGGCCCAGTGAAGTGCATTTTTTTGCACCAAAATGAAATGGCAGTTTCATTCCTTACATATCATTGTGCCTGTTCATGGCTAAAATAATTTTTAATTATTTATTTATTTATTCATTATTAATGTTAATAATAACGGCCGTCTGAGCCTACCGGAAGTTCCAGACGATAGCGGCCGTGACGTCACAAGATGGGCCCAGTTCTGATTCTAAACATGGCGGAGACTTTGGAAAGTGATACATGTGCGAGAGAAATGATTGATTTTGACAGCTTTTCGGACAGGATAGATGAGGAAAGCGGCACATAAGATGGAAGTGACGATGAGGAAGCGCAGGACATCATTGAACCCTACAGATTTGAGCCGTCAGGGACGTCAAGTGGGGAGGATGATGGCGACGACATGGACGATGGGGAAGACATTGACCGGCTACAGAACACTGAATGGTTAGCAGGCTAGCAGTGGCTGTGCTGTCACTGTCGATTTGAAAATAGGGGGG